TATGAAAACAAGCAGTGTTATTCATAATAGACAAAAGGTAGAAGCAACTCGAGGGTCCACAGGCAGATGGAGAGGCACGCGAATGTGGTCTATACGTACAATGGAATTATTCAGCCTCAGAAAGAAAGAACCTCTCACACACGCGGCAACAGCCTGAATCCTGAGGGTATTGTTCTCAAGAAATAAGCCAGCCACGAAGACAAATGTGTATGATTCTACTTATGTGACTTCCTAGAGTAGTTAAATTCAGGAGACAAAAAGCACAATGGTAGGAGGCGGCGGCGGGGGTGGGGTAGGGCTGAAGTTGCTGTTGAATGGGTTCAGAGTTCTGCTTTTTAAGAAGCGTCTTGGAGTTGGAGGTGGTGGTGGTTTAACACGTGAAGGCACTTACTGCCACCAAAATGTGCACTTAAAAATGGTTCAGCAAAGAAGTTTTATGCTATACCTTTATCTACTACAAACACCCAAAAACTCAAATCGAGTTTCAGGTTTTATCTGAAGTGAAACCAATGGCATTCTCACATAAATGGATACATTTGTTTTCTTTTAGAGATAAACTTTAAATATGTTAACTTTAAAAGAAAATGGAGGCCAGGGCCGCAGCTCACTAGGCTAATCCTCCGCCTAGCGGCGCCGGCACAACAGGTTCTAGTCCCGGTCGGGGCGCCGGATTCTGTCCCGGTTGCCCCTCTTCCAGACCAGCTCTCTGCTGTGGCCAGGGAGTACAGTGGAGGATGGCCCAAGTGCTTGGGCCCTGCACCCCATGGGAGACCAGGAGAAGCACCTGGCTCCTGCCATCAGATCAGCGCAGCAGCCATTGGAGGGTGAACCAACGGCAAAAGGAAGACCTTTCTCTCTGTCTCTCTCTCTCTCACTGTCCACTCTGTCAAAAAGAAAAAGAAAAAAAGAAAATGGAGAGAGATTACTAATGAGCTATACCTATGTATCCACAGTGACTAGCATGCCCCTCATGGCATTGCCTCCATCTGGTAAAATATTTAAGTTACAGCAGAGAAAGAAATCCAGTAACTCACTGGTTTCTATGTATTCCACTAAGGGCAAGTTTAAATAGAAAACAATGGGAAGCTTAACTCCGCTGAGAAGCAAGTCTATAAATGAACTTTGGAACATAAAACACAAGCTCAGCGTTGCCCGTGGGCATCTACGTCAGGTTCTCAGCGGGGCAAAAGGAGGGGATGAGACACAGGGCTGTGCTACAGAGTTCCAGCTGTCCCAACTCAGGCGGGGCAGGTGCAGCCGGCCAGCAGGTAGAGACCATGGCTGCTGCTAGAGCAACATCCTACCAGCCACAGCGCAGCATCCACACCAAGGAATGATCTGGCCCACAATGTCGGTAATGTCACAGCTGAGAAACTTTGGTCTAAGGAAAACTTTGCATTAATCCAACTACGATCTAAAAGGCGCTCTGGAATCTACATCGATGATACACACCAACTTTACATATGCCTCGCACAGACACGGGAACAACTGTTTACTTGGGTAGGAAGTAAAGCCTGACTGTCAAAACCGATTTTAAACAGAACACTATGTACGGATACGTTACCCTGTACTTTCAAACTCTGCCAAGGACCATGTGTAAATCATGTGATCCGAGCACTCTCTTGAAAGAAAACTTGTAACAGAGTATGACCAAACCCAACAAATATTTGTGAGCAAGATGGATCAAAAGCATTCGTGTTTACTTCATCATCATCTCCAGTCTGGTGGAACGGGGCTTCAAAAGTTGACACCTGTGCATGAACCTAAGTATAAATTATGGACAGAAGATATTAACCGCTTCTTCTTCCTTGAAGGCATATTTTTAAAAGCCAGTGAATTTTACAAAGCAACTGCGTCTTCATTCCACTGTTCTTACTGCTAGTGCCCGAAATGTGACTTAACATTTGTGGTAGCTTTCGAGACAGGTCACATAACTAGGGAGTATGCATTTATTGTTATTCTGAATGTACTTTCAGATATCAATTGTGGGAAATGGGACTTGGATGAATGACGCTTATCAATTTACTTCCCAGTGAATTCCACAAATTGTCTTAACATAAAAGAATTAATGATTAATGGCAATAGACTTTTTTATTCCATTACTACTCCCATCTTTCTTTGTTCCGAGAGCCATTCTAATGTATAAAATGCAGACAATAGTATAACCAAAGGCCACAATTAACTGCCAGTAAAAATGCAACCAGAGATCAGTTTTGCTTTGTACATTTTTGCTAGAGAAGAAACTGAACTTATCTTCTATCTATCTATCTATCCTGAAACTTAGGCAATGTTAGTTTCAAGAAAAGCTAGATATGCTTTAAAAAAAAAAAGTCCTTAACAACTCATATTTCAAATAGTCTGCTAACTAGATACGCATGGGGGGGGGGGCGGAGAGGAGGGAGGGAGGAGCAGCAGTGGGCAGGCTGGCCTAGAAGTTTACTGCACCAGTAAGAATGTAAAGACTTTTCACTGTTCTCCGAGAGGGAGCTGAGAAACACAGCTCTCCATGACTTTCAGCTGGCTGATTCTATAAACTGGAGGAAAGACAGTCAGCTGGCTGGGCCAACTGCACCCTGACCTTGGATAATGATGCATGATTTGCAAAGCCACTCACAAGCTCTATCTGTGAGATCCAGGGGCCAGGTACTTGTTTTGTGGATGAGGGGGTGGAAGCTCAGGGCCTGCCCCGGGGCATACATCGAGGCCACAGAGGGAACCCAGCACCAGAAAAATCAACCAGGGGCTTTTTACCCCATCTGCTCATTCTCCTCCTGTACTCAGATATCTGGCTAATAACCTACATGTAAGAATAGCTCAATGTGACAAGAGGCACTATACCAATTAGGAGGAACTGTGCCAATTATAATTTAATTTTAGGTTCATTCTGCTTAAGAATGACAAGAATCGCCATTTATCATGATTTTAACTGCTTTTATGACGTCTCAGGAAGAGCGATTAACACCGAGTGCACACTCAGCTGAACCTGCTGAGGCCGCACACAGCTGAGTGGCGGCTGCGACACGAGACACGAGACTGATCTTACTTGGAGAGCCTCTGTTCAGCCGCACGGCCAACTCCTAACAGGAAGCTACTCTGCTCTCAAAAGCACAAGTGCTCCTGGTGCCCCGGGAATAAACTGTTTAATAGTCTGCAGCACATTTCGTACAGGCATTAACTGAGTGTTACCAACTGTTTTTGATGAAATATTAAAAATTAGTATTTTAGAATATGCTTAAATGTTGTGTTTCATTGAGAGTCGGTGTGGAGTCCACGAAACCTCCTTTTGTAAACACCGCCCTGATCATCTCCAGAGACATCCACCCCGATTCTCCACAGCCAGCCCCACCACCCTGACTTCTCACCTCTTCTGCCTCCATTCACACGGTATTCCTCACCCCACAAGCGCTTTTCTTAGTGAACAATTTAAACAGCTTTAAATGTAATGGTATTTATTTACAAGGGAGAGACACTGTGAGAGATCTTTCATCTGCTCATTCACTCCCTAAAAGCCCACAACAGCCGGGCTAGGCCAGGCTGAAGGCGTGAGCTGGGAACTCAGTTGGGGTCTTCTACTACCTTGCAGTGTGTCTTTCTTCCCGTCTTCTAGCAGCTAAGTTCCTGCTTATCGATTAGGGGGTGGCTTGAATGTCACCTTCTTCCTAACAAATTACTACCTCTGCCAACACCACAAAGTTCTTTGTGACTTGATTACAGCTCTCACTTGACATGGCTAGTGATTTGGGACTCCTAGGCGGTTAGCTGCTGCATATAGGAATGACCTTAAACTTAACAAAATGCTTCATCCCCAGTGGCTCCCAGCAAAGTGGAGGATTAAAAAGCTATCTGCTGTCCAGCCTGCTGTAGCCCCTCAAACACCATGCCCTTGTTCAATAAAGCTTCAGAGCTCCTCCTACAGTTCTAACTCTGTATCAGACACTAAAAACTCTGGAGAGGTTCCTACAACTGTATCTGTATGCACGGACAGGTCTGAACTATGATTGTGGATGAACACATCCCAGAGCAATACAGAAACATTCGCACATTTGTCCATATACACATATGTAACAAGGCATTATTTTCAGGCTTAGTGTTAACATTTCTTAATAATTGTAATGTGTGTCTTTATTAGTTCAATCAGTAAGTTACAAAAACACTATGAAAATCACAAGTAAAAACACCACATTATCACAGGAACTTAAATTCTTACACTACTTTTGTACATCTGAATTTAGTTAAGATATAATTCAAATAAGCAAAGCACAGCCTGGCAAGAGATTCATATACTCCTGTGACTATTCATTAAATAACCCATCCACAGGCATGAATGGTTCCCTTTCTAGAAGAAATATACATGATACATTCAAAGCTTCAGGCTCAGAGGAAAGATTTATATTTCCAATCTGGATATGTCTTGTTCCAAGTAAAAGTTCTATTTTCTCTCCTCCATGAGATAAATACCACTTTCAGGGCAAAGATGGAAATGTTGAAAAGGAAAAAAAGGCATGCAATTGGAATTACGAAAATACTGATAGGACAACCAAGTGACCACATCTTCAATGAATTAGCCATTTCTAAATCATTTAAATCATTACACAAAAGAGAATAAATTCAAAGGACTGTCTGATGAAAATCAACTGCTAATTATATAATGGCTGACAAACGCCCAGGAGGAGCAGGCCTTTGGAGCAGTGGTTAGGAGTGGCACTTGGGAAGCCCCCACGCCCTGCTAAGTGCCTGGATTCAAGCACCAGCTTTGCTCCCGATTCATTTCCTGCTAATGAACACCCTGGGAAGCAGCAGGTGATGGCTCAAGTCCTTGGGTCCCCATCACATACCAGGGAACTCACATGGAGTTCCTAGCATTGGCGCTACCCAAACTCAGCTTTGGCAATGGGTGTGAATCAGCAGACAGGAGGTCTCTGTCTCTTATATCTTTCAAAAACAAAACACAAAAGTCCACAGGCGTCACACACCCCATTACCCAAACGATCTACTTTTACCTTTTTTCGTTCCTGTTCTCTCTGTTGGAGTCTACAGACTGAGTCATTAGCCGCTTGCACTGAAATAAAACAGACAGGGGTTTTCAATCAGAAGCCCTTGTTCAAGAAGAGACTTACCTGGGGATGGGGTTGGGGTGGGGGGATGCTTGGACTGTTTTAGATCACAAAAAATTGATATTATCGTGGCGGTGATGGGTGGCTAGAAGGGACAAATAAGTTTTGCTATATGGTCAGAATGTCCTAATTAGAACAATCATCATCTGGCTTTTGAGCTGCCAACCAGGGTCATTTAAGTGCCAAGTCCAATGACAAGTTGTCATCAACCACCTCAGAGCTCGCCAAGGATGTCAAGTGCCTGCTGCATTCACCTTTCCTGCTGATAGATTTTGCCTTTGCAGTGTGTCCTGATCCAGGAACTACCCTCCTCCTACTCATTTGCAGGCGGCACTTGGCATCCAGACCACATCAACAACCTTCTACTGCCCCTCCCGTTGCTACTCTCATGTCTTCCAGTTCATCTGGGCTGCCGCTGTAAGACTCCAACTTTCTCTGGCCATTTTCAGTGAGTCACTGCCCTTTCTTTTTTTTTTTTTTTTTTTACAGGCAGAGTGGATAGTGAGAGAGAGAGACAGAGAGAAAGGTCTTCCTTTGCCGTTGGTTCACCCTCCAATGGCCGCCGCGGCCGGCGCTCTGCGGCCGGCGCACTGCGCTGATCCGATGGCAGGAGCCAGGAGCCAGGTGCTTTTCCTGGTCTCCCATGGGGTGCAGGGCCCAAGCACATGGGCCATCCTCCACTGCACTCCCTGGCCACAGCAGAGAGCTGGCCTGGAAGAGGGGCAGCCGGGACAGAATCCGGTGCCCCAACCGGGACTAGAACCCGGTGTGCCGGCGCCGCTAGGCGGAGGATTAGCCTAGTGAGCCGCGGCGCCGGCCCAACTGCCCTTTCTTAAGAACCAGACTGCTAGTAATAATTACGGCAGTTATTTATAAGTATTTGACCTGAGACAAGAACTTTGCATTTATTATCTCCAGAGTCTTACTTCCCTCTTAGGAAGTGAACACTACCCCATTGTAGAGATGACAAAATTGAGGCACAGAAAGGTGAAGCTGTCACTCAGGAAGGTCACGAACTAATAGTATAGGAAACAGGGTTTCAAATCAGGTCTCTTTGACTCCAAAGTCGCGGCTCTTTCTCTCAACACTCTATGACTCTCCTGCTAGTTCATCAACAAAACTGCTTTTAGTCCTTCAGTTACCAAACCTTTTCATTTATCAGGCCCATTTTGTTTCTGTTCACAAACAGTCTGCTTACTTCATCCAGATAAGGACATTAAGGTGCCAACCGAAATGCCAGCATCCCATCTCAGGTGCAGGCTGGAACCCTGTCTGCTCTGCTTCCAACACAGCTGGCTCCCTGCTAATGCAACTGGGAAGGCAGTGGAAGACAGTCCAAGTGCTCGAGCCCCGGAACCCACACGGGAGACCCAGATGGAGCTCCCGGCTCCTGCTTCAGCCTGGCCCAGCCCTGGCTGTTGTGGGCATTTGGAGACTAAACCAGATGGAAGATCTCTCCCTCTCTGTCATTCTTCAATTATACACATACACATATAATTTTTTTTAAGTGTGAAGGCTGAGAGTCAGTCTTAGTCCAATCTAGGCTGAGGCACCCACCTTTGTGACTGACATGGACATGGTTGCCTGTGGGAGCCTTTGTCTTTACAGAGCATGACAGTGCCAGGCACTGTTCCTGAGGCTGCTCCCACTCTGCCAGCTCCTTAGTTCCTCACTTATAAAGAGTATCACAACTAGTAAGAGAGCTTCAGAACTGACATGAGAAATAAACACGGTAACACAGTAGCTATTAACAACTTAAGTATTAATAATAAAACCACTTAGGATAGTTCTTCAGAGAGCAGTGAGCAGCCAAGAAATGTTATTTTTGCCATTACTATTATACAGAAAGTGCTTTCCCAATTTTTTTCTTCTAATTAGAATATTTTACTTGTTTCAAAAGCCTAATTCAAGCCTTCCTGTTTTTACAAAGCCTCCCAGAGCAGTCCTTTCCCATTTCCCCTTATTTGAAAGTCCTTCATCAGGCATGTGCCCCTGCCTTTGCTTCAACTGCTGAACTCCTATCCCACCCAACCTGGCCCTGCTAGGTCACCAGTTCCCAAAGGGGGAGGAACTGTAGACTGTCTTTCTCTATGGGAGTACAGCTTAAAAAAAAGGAGGATTTTGTTTTCAAAAAGTTTTATCAGTTTTTTCAAAGGTAATATGTAAGTACTGAAAATTAGGTTCCTAACCATTGTTTTTTTCTAAAAGAAAAGATGAAAATAAAACAAGGCAGGAGTTGATTAGCCCTGCCTCTTTTCTGTATTAAGTTAGTATTATATCATCTTTCCCACAGAGGGTTCTATCACTTCCTGCTGTCTCCCTGCCCTATCCCCAACACACACACACACTCTAGGACACCTGTTTTGCTATTTTTAGGTGATCCATTTTTTTTTTCTGATCACTCAGCTTGATCTGACCAAATTGTCACAGAACTATAGCACTTATTTGGTCATTTGTTATGTTCAAAGATTCAATTAGAACACCATGCTTGGAAATTTCAATCCCTCTGAAATAATTCACTTTCTGATTGTTTTAGCTGTACAACATAAAGGGTTTACTTTCTGCATTTAATAAATTGCCTTTCTAAAAATCTAACAAAATCACAGATGACACCAAACATTCCCTTTCTTCACAATTTGTGACTCGAAGAGGAGAAAGGCTCATTTCTCCAAATCTTCCTATCACTTCCTGTCTCTTACTGATTACACATAATTCAGTGTGAGACAATGTCTCCTGCTGCCTCCGTGTTGTGGGAGACTGTACTGACCTAGAACAAAGTTGAGATTTTATCAAATGCCTTTCTCTGAACTTAAAGATCAAGGAGATCAGCACCCCATCCAGGGTTATTGTGCCCCAAACACAGTTAACAATGTCCTGCTTTTCCTCACATAAAAGAGAAGTGAATTCATTCTATAATTGTTCAATTACATACATAAGAAAATAATTTTGGTTTGGCTTCAGGAGCAGATGTTGGCTGACTGCTCGCTCATTCATTTTAGTGAACAAATAATTACTGAGTGGCTACAAAGGGGCTGGCACGCTGCTGGGTGCCTGGGATACTGCGGTGAACAGAACAGAATCCCTGAGCTCATGGCATGCACAGCCTAGCTGGGAAAAAGCAGAAGACACAGACAACTACTTAGCATGCCAGGCGGTGACGGATGTGATGGAGAAAAACCAAGCAAAACAGGGAGCCACAGAATGCCAGGGGGAGGGGGCGGAAGGCTCACAGTGGACGTCCCAGCAGAGCCTCCAGGAGACGAGAGAGAGCAGGGCAGAGTGCTCCAAGGAGCAGGAAGAGCAAAGGCCGCAAGGTGAGAGTGTGTTCCCCAACCCAGAGAGAACAGTGAGATGGTGTAGGCCGGCATCTTCAACACCAGCTTCCTGTATTCCGAGTGCAAGTCTGAGTCCTGGCTGCTCTGCTCTTGATGCAGCTCCCAGCTAACAAGCCTGGGAACGCAGCAGAGATGGCCCAGTACTTAAGTTCTTGTCACCCACGTGAGAGACCCCAGCACAGCTCCTGGCTCCTGGATTTGACATGGCCCAGCCCTGGCCCTTGCAGGCATTCAGGGGAATAAACCAGTGGATGGAAGGAGATCTCTTTCTTTTTCTCTCTTCCTGTCATTCTGCCTTTCAAATAAATAAAAATAAAATTTTAAAAGAGAGAGAAACAGTAATGAGGCCAGCACAGTTGAAGTAAAGTGAGGGGGGAAGAGACAGGAAATCAAATCCAGAGTGGGGGGCATCACGTAGACTCCCAGGCCATGATGAGGACTTTGGCTTTTAACATACGCACAGTAAGGAGAGTCTGAGTCCATGAGGGCACTTCAAAAGATTACTGGAAGTGGAAATTCAAAGGTACATTTATTTTGGTGCAAAACTTTTTTTGAAATCCATGTATATGAAGGGTTTTCAAAATGCTCATGAAAAAAGTGTAGTATGGAAAAACTATGTGTGGATCTCAAATTTTATTTTTGTACCAAAAATAATTCATCTTTTAATTCTGTTTTTGAGTATGCTCATAGCGATAACAAGAGCTGATTTACATAAAGGGTCACTCAGGTTCCTGTGAGAAGGCACTTGCAACTCAAATATGCTTTGACAAGAACTGTAGATGAGGGATCTTCCAAAAACTCACAGAAAATGTGTCCAACAAAAAAACTGTGGCTTTCAAGATTTTTTGCACCAGAAGAAACTTATCTTTTAATTTCATTTTTTTCTACAAGCTTTTTGAAGCATCTTCATTTATGAAAGGCAAATAAGACACATAAAACATCCAAACGGCCAGTGTTTGGCGCAGCAGGTTAAAGCTGCAGCCTGCCCTGCCGACATCCCACATGAGTGTGGTTTGAGTTGGGCTGTTGTGCTTCTGATCCAGCTTCCTGCTGATGCACCTTGGAAAAGCAGCAGAAAATGACCCCTGCCACCCACGTGGGAGACCGGAAGAGTTCCAGGCTCCTGGCTTCGGTCTGGCCCGGTGCTGGCCATTTTGCATCTGGGGAGTGAACCAGCAGATATAAGATCTCTGTCTCCCCCTCTTTATGTATAAACTCTGCCTTTCAAATAACTCAGTAAATCTAAAAAAAAAAAAAAAAAGGCATATAAAGTTTCCATTCAGAAAGAAAATCTAACAAAATTTCTTATAGGTGCTTTGCAACACAAAATAACATGATTTAAAACATGGGATGATAAGATACAGAATGAAATGAAAAATGAGGTTACAGAACTAAAGAAACAAATCGAAATGTACCATCATTACGAATCTAATAAATAAATCAGAAATAGTAGGACTAAAAACAGCATTAAACAACTAGGATAATTACAGCTGCAGAACAATGCAGCTGAGTCCTGATGACGTTAAAGTCACAAGTAAGGGGTGGGGAAGGCAGGGGAAGGCAGGCAGGAGGGGATGATCAAAGTCTAGCCCGACCGTCTCTCATGGCAA